CAGAGCCGCCGGCGGGACCCTGCGGGACGGGTCCGTGGAGGTGAAACGGCGAAAGTTGCGCTGAGCTGCTGCGCTGTCTCTCGGGGATGAGGCGGTCCTGACCGCCCTTCGCGCCTGGGCATCCTGGTCTTCGGGCAGTTGTGCTGCAGCAGGGCTACGCGCAGGTGACCGAGTAGGTGGGGTGCCTCGGGGTCTGAAAGGCACCTGCAGCCCCTCAGCTGCCGATGAGAAGGGACTTCCTTCTGCTGGAAACAAGCAGCATGTGAATTTCCCATCGTTCCTTCTCCAGTGTCTGGTAAACCATCTGACTTCAAGGCATCTCATCCTCAAGTCTGTGACAAATCTGTGGCGGTCAGATACCTCAGCAAGTGCTTTATCTCCCCGGGACTCTCTCTACAGCTGTGCAAAAGTAGCAGAGTGTGCCTCTGCTGATGTTCGTCTTGGGAGCTGGTGGCACAGCAGCCTAAGAGAAATGTCTTGTATTGATAGCCAGGAGAGTCGCCTGGCATGAAATCAAGCAGTGGGCAGGACACTGAAACCACAAGGGGCCTGAGAAAATAAGTCATACACAGTTGTCTCACTTTTTCCTGAGGATCAGGAGCTCTTGGTGAAAGCAGTAGCACACAGAGACCTTGGGGAGGGGGCTGAGATGGTTAAGATGCCTGCTGCCTTAGCATGACCACTGTGCTTGTCTGTATTTGTCTGCAGAGCACACACGGTCACAGCAGAATGAGACGGTGCAATGCTCAAACCACGATGCAACACATACACTCGTTCTCTCCCCTGATGGGGAGCTTTCTGAACACTGGGCTACAGCCTCAGCTGACTGCTCTAAGACAAGGTGAGAAGCTTTCACAGGGTGGAGGTACAGATGGTAATGGTCAGAAAATGCGCCCCACTTTTCCTAAAGGTAACATCCAAGAGACTGGATTGTGTTGCTGTTGTAGAGAGGGAACTGGAACAGGTACATTCCTAGTACCAAAAACTTTACCTTCTTTTTTGACCCAGCAAGAGGTGCACTGATTTTGAGGATAATACCAAGATCTGAGCTGCTTGGGATGCACAAGACAGGTTTCTCTCAAATTTAGTAGGGATTGGTAGCACATACCAGAGTGACGCAGATGATTTGCAAACCACATGTGGCTTGGGAAAACTGTGGGTGAAAGACCCAAGCCCACCTGAACCTTGCTATCTTCCGATTAAACTATGAGCGTAACTATCATCCAAAAATAGCGCAGCAGTTTGCTGTGGGATTTTCTGTTAGCTTGCCTAGGGCTGAGCCTGATTCTCTTCCAGCTTCCTGTGGTGCAAAACGCAATCAAATTAGTTAGCCCAGCCGCGGCAGGCTAGCATAAGAGCACGGTGAATCAACTTACAGTGACCTATTTTTCCATGTAATTCCCGCTGAATGTGCTAGGACTTGGTGAGCACAGGGTCTTCTTCCTTTACTTTGTCTGATGGCACAGCATCCATCTGTTTTGATTTGTTTTCTTTTTTTCTTCCTTATTTTCGTAGGCTGGTGACAGAACTAGGAAACCGAGATATTGTTCAAATAGTGTGTGGGGACCAGCATGCCATGGCACTGTCCAGAGGTAGCCTCTTTCATGCACACTTCAAATGGGAGTCACGTTATGGCAGGCTTGCTCTTGGAAGGGAGTGTTTGAACAACTCCCAGTAGTCGGTGACACCATTAGAGAGTAATGAGCGATGGGTGGGGGACACAAAGTGCGCTGGCTATCAGCGCTGCCCTTTCCTCCCAGCACCCAGGGACCTGCAGCTCTGTCACTCTCCAGTTCCTTGGCATGACCACTGTTCAAAGGTGTGTTGTGGAGAGCAGACGTAGCTGCCCCACTCTGCACTCTCTAGACCTGCTCATTCTTAAGTTGGAGCACCTCTCTGGTTGGGAACTTCTTGCAAGTATGGCTTTAGAGGTGGAAACACCCTGCCTTTATTCTTGCTATGCTGAGTCACGCAGGCAGCATGGGACTGCCCCAAAGGGGTCAGGGGCAAACAGGGAGATTTGGCTACAGATGATGGTCTCATCTTGGAGCTAGATCCCTGAAAACACTGATTTTTGCTCCCAAAGTGCAAAGACTCAAGCGAAGCAATGAGGCTGAGCTGTTTTCTTTCGTTCTGTGCATGAAGGAGGTGAGCTCTTTACCTGGGGCCAGAATGCCCACGGACAGCTTGGAGTGGGGAGCCAAACCACGCTCATCTCCCAGCCACAGCTGGTGGAAACACTAAAGGGCATCTCACTCGCTCAGATTGCTGCTGGAGGAGCTCACAGCGCCGCCGTGTCACTCTCTGGAGCTGTGTACTCCTGGGGAAAGAATGATTTTGGACAGCTGGGACTCGGAGACACAGAAGGTAAGGAAGGACAGCAGTTCGAGAGTAAAGAAGTAGGAAGGTGTTTTCCTAGTCAGTGAGCTTACTGCAGACACAGGGCTCACTCCAAATTGTCAAGCACCTTTGGAGCAGCAGTGGACAGTAAAGTCTTTTGAAAAAAGTATATCTGGATAAGTTACCTGTTTCCAAGCTATTGCATCCTGACCAGGAAAGGCACACAGGGACAAGGGATTTAGGGGTTGCGTTTCTACAGAGAACTTCCAGTCATTTTATGTGGCCAACTGGATAGCATGGGCTCTTAAAACCGTATGTCTCAGAGGTCTCTTTCCACTCCCATTCTCTCTCCAGACAGTCTTGCATGAAAGAAATTAATTTCATACTTCTTTGCTTTCTTTAATTCTCAGTAAACACAAGGTGAGAGAAGAATTAAAATCACCCATTTTCTTCAAACCTAGAAGGCTAGAGCAGAGTTGCCCTAGCCAGACAGAACCTGAAGTCAGCAGGATCTGAATGGGTCTACAACCTCGAGAGTAGGATATTTTGAAGCCACGTACCTTTTAGCAGGCAGACCTGAAAACGCTGTGTTTTGTTTCAGCTCGAGTGTAAATGAAAAGAAAATACTACGAAAAAGACAGAGCATTATGAGAAAGAATATGTAATAGTGGAGGGTAGAACACAACTCAAAACCAAGTTGTAAATACATGAATTGCTCTAAGAGAAGACTGAAAAGTGCTAAGAAGCCTTATTTTCTAAATCTTTCTTTGTGTGAGACCCCCCAGTACTCTTTCACTTTAGCAGTGCTACCTTCTTTCCAGACAGGGACTGCCCATCATACATTGGAGCACTAGTGCACTGGAAGGCTGTATTTATCTCCTGTGGGGCAGATCACACTGCAGTTCTCTCCAAGGTGAGTCTGAAAGGGAAAATCAGCATCTAAGACCTCACCTTGGGAGAAAAGATTCACTGCTATAAAAGTCAGCATGGAGAAATTGGGGTGGCAGCACCTGCTTCCATCTGAGTTTGAAGACGATCCCCGAGGGATGCTAACTAAGCTACTGGGAAAACTGCCCTTTTCTCAGATTCCTGTCATCTGTGTGGAAACTTTTGCAGGGAGATGGTGAATGGGAATCCTGGGTCGAAGAAGTGCAGTTCAACTCTCAGTATTTTTGAAAATATTTTTTATAGCATATTGGGGACTTCAGAAAACGTGAACAATAGCTAATTCACTAGGATTTACCCATACAAGTAAAATTCTTAAGCTACAGGGAGTTATTCTCAAGAGTTAAATTGCCTTTCTCAGGAGTTAAATGTTTTGGACATCATGATGTAAGATCAGGCTTGATGAGAAGTGAGCTCTACTTGTGTTTGAAGCAGGGATGTTTTGAATCAAGTCCCATATAACATTGCGTCTTGCTGGCTCTCGCTCTTGGTGGTGACCATTTGAATGCCATTAATAATGCAGTGATCCTATTGTTTGCTTCTTTGTCTTCAAGGAGGGGCTGGTGTGCACCTTTGGAGCAGGAGGGGCTGGCCAGCTTGGTCACAACTCCACCCGGAATGAACTCACACCTCGTGTGGTGGCTGAGCTGTGGGGAGCAAGAGTTTCACAGGTTGCCTGTGGCAGGTGGGAAAGCACCAGTAACATGTCTTCTAAGGTCAAGGTCTTAGGGGAATCACTGAAGAACAGTCGGGAGGGGAGTCACCAAGCTGTTCAAATCCCTGTATCCCAGTAGGTCAGCACTGTCAGATTATCATCCATTCCTCATGTGTAAGCCACCCTTCTGCCGCAGACCCTGTGAGAACAGAACCGTCAGCCCATGCTGAACAGAGGGAGTGGGCTGCAAAAACCACCAGAAGCCCTCTGCTTTTGCTCTTCTAAGAAATGAAGGGCAAAAGACGGTCAAAAGCCTGTGTTAGGAGAGTCACAGAGTTCCTGTCCACTTTGACAAACCGGTGGATCCTTAGAAAGAGCTGAAGAGTGGTGATAAATATCCAATTTCATTCTGCCTTTCTGGAGCTGGGCCAGAAAAAGTCTCCTGTTGACTTTGCTGGGCTTTGTATCAGGCTCTGCAACATAGAAATTGTGCTTGAAAAAACGAAAGGGCATGAAGCTAGCAAGGAGTAACTTTATTTTCATATGTGGAACCAGGGTAAATCACAAACATTAGAGGATAGTATTGGAAATTTAAGTCCATATGTTTCTTTATTGCTGAATGTTTATGTGAGGAAGGGTCTTAAGACTTTGGCTAAAGGAATTCTATAGCTGGACTGTCAGGACTTATAGAGACAAGCCTCCGCTATCCACTCTGAAAATATATCTGTAAATTTAATTCTGACTAGCCCAGTGATATCAGCTTATTATGACCATTTTTCTTTTTTTTGAACAGCCAGCACACCCTGGTCTATGTCCCCTCCTTGGACAAAGTCTATTCATTTGGTTCCAATGAAGAAGGACAGCTGGGAGATGAGAGAAAGCCTAATGAGTTGGTACCACTTCCCATCAATTCACTAGTGAATACTGGAACATCCTGTCAGGGTAATGACCGTTGCAGATATATACAGTCTGTGTTTGTTTCTTCCAGGGAGTTGTTTGCTTTTTTGATTTCATGTTTACAGTGAGAGGCTAACATTATGCTTCATGCTTACTTGGTCATCCCAAGAGATTCTACAATGGATAATTCATTTGTTGCTTGATTTATCATTGTGGGTGATGGCCACATAGAATCAACTTTTAGACAGCTACTGAGGGTTTTTTTTTACTGTTCCACATCTTTGCACTGAACTCTCTGAAGATAATGACCGTCTCTTCAAATATTCCTTTAAAAATCTTGTTATTCTTTCACAGAAAACAACATGTCATGGAAGGTGATTGAAATCACTGCAGGAGGAAACCAAGGTGTTGTCCTTTGCAAGAAGAACAAGGTATGTGCATATTTGATCATGGCTTCTAATTTTACCATTGTTCACATTACTGCTGGCAACATTTGGATTTTCCATCCTGCTTTTAGTGCTCCAAGTTCATATACGTCTCTTGCAGTTCTTTCCACGCTTACCTAGAAACTAACTTGTATTGCAGTTAAATATCTGTCCTGTGGTTAATGCAACTAGATCATGCTGGGTGACCATTAATTTGTTCATACTTAGGCTGAAATCTTGTAACGACTGGCTTGAAAAAAAGAATCCCATCTGCCAGACCTGTAATCTCCTCAATATTTTCACACAGAATTCCTATTTGAATGGAATTGCCACTCTGAAGGATAAAGATGTGGACACATGGATTTCTTCCCGTTCGCAACACTGGGAGAGTATAAAAAAGTGAGTCAGAAACCTGCTGTTTGTTTTGTTTTGTTTTGTTTTGTTTGTTTTTTCTCCCCCCGATACATGATTTTCTCTAAAAATTACTATTCTTTGGAGATCCTTGTAGGAACTGACGTTCAAAAATTTAGCCAAGCCGGAATCTCATACCAGCACTTCTTACTTAGGTTTTGCACAGGAAAAAGAGATAAGCAACAGCCCTTCGACAACCCTTTTGCAGGAACAGAGCAGACATACTGCCTGGCTTCAGTGGCCTGTCCTCCTCTCCTTGCACAGGGTGGTTGTTAAGTTGATGAAGAGCCAATGAGTTAAAGCAGTGAAAGAATAGGTCTGCAGACCGAGGCCTTGTGCAAAAATCATAACCCAAAGTACTGAAACTGGAATGTTTTGTGTGTGTCAGCATTTAAAAATTAGTGATCCCTTCTTTAGTTACCCTTTTTCAAAAGCAGTAAGTATATACTACTGTGGGAAGCCTTACACTTATGTCTGAGAATTATGATTACATAGTCTTTTTCAGATCTTACGTGGGAGGTTTTTTCTTTGGGCAAGTCTGACACCAGCTGCTGATTTTAAGAGTTTAAAAATCCTGGCTAATTTTGATCTAAATGTTTCTCTGACCACTATTAGTATGGTTTGGATCATATTGGAAGTGGTTGTTGAGAGGGTGAAAGAGAGAGAGTGTTCTTTCCAGACCTCAACAGGAAGGGCCTGACAGCAAATTGCTTGATAAAATAGCTGCTTTAATAAGAACAGAACTAGGAATACAGGTAGTGAGTAAGTCTAACATCCTTTCAGATGCTGAGGAGCCAGCTTTCGTGCAGTAGCAAACAGGTACCCGGATGGATTTTCCCTCAGTGTGCTATGAATATCCTATCCGTGGAGGGGTTCCTCCTCCCTCCCATGCCACAGTGCCTTTTGTTTTGCATAACAAACAAAACCAGATAACATCCCAATCTGTCAGGAGAAGATATCTCCATCATAACACCTACCAGCATGCAGCACAGGCTGGCACAGAGTGCTTGAGCAGGTTCCCTTACAAGGCCCAGGAGAGCAGAGGTGGCTTGCTGATGATCACCAACTCCTCAAATACAATGTCTTCTGCAGTGCTCTCAATATGGTGGCGCCAAGAAAAGTTTTGTGTGGTCAGGTGCAGACACACTTGTACACAGGTGTTTTGTTCTTCCAGAATTAAAAACCTGAAGTTGCTATTCGTGTTGAAAGGACTGACTTTGGGTTTTTTTTTTACTATCAGGAATATCAGACTGATCTTTTCATCTGAAGCTTGTATCAATGGAAGCTTCCTGGAGAAAAGGTAGGGTGTGCTGACTGAGACATGACAGAATATACTGGCTACATGTGAACCAAAAGTGTTATTTCAGCCCAGGTATGTGGTATGTTGTATGTATGTAGTGTAGTACGTATGATTAGTCATATCTGAATTTGCAAGAAGCAAGTTTGTATTTTTCAAAGTCCAAGCTAAAATTGTTTTATATTCCCTCAGCCCTATTGAAATTTGCTATAGAAACTCACATTCTAGCAGATTATCCCATAGTGACATTTTGACAGATGATGATAATCCCTTTAGCCATTATTACAGCTCCCAAAGGATCCATAATAGCTCCTCCCAGCACTGAAGTGCAAGTTGTTTTAGGCTGAAATACAGAAAGCCTACCATTAACAGTGCACAGCTACACAAGACAGGAAGGACAGGATATTAATCAGGTTACACCACAGTGAGAATCTTCTTAGAACAGATGAAATTATACGCACTGGAGTCAGGGCAGAACTTTCCAAGTATTTTCTGGTATTAGGATGCTTCACCACTCAGTCAGTAACAAAAACCGACTTCTTGCATCATTTGATGTTATTTTTTTTTCCTTTGTGATAGCGACAAACATTTCAAAACTTCCAAAGTCTCAGGCGTAGACCTGTCAGAAGTGCAAAGTTTTTATGAGAAGATCAGCAAGAAGCCAAAAGTCTTCCAGGAGGTAAGGATTCAATATAAGGATTCTTACTACACAGATACTGAGGAGCTCTGGATTTGTGCATGAAACTTGGGAAATTCATGCCAACCTAATTCACAGATTATGTTGGCAAAACATAATTGCGTTTTTAACCCTTGTCTCTTTTTATTTCCTCTGAAGGTGCAAAAGGGGATTAAGAAGTTACTGCCAACACTGTCTTCCTCTCCCATCTCGCTTGAAAATTTCAGAGTCTACTTGATCTTGCCTTTCCTTCTGCAGAGAGAGGATGACAGCTCTTACCATTCTCTTGGGCTGCTAGCACAAGCCATTATGAAGCTCCAGCCAAAGGACCTGCAAACTCTTGGTAGGGTTTTATGGTGATGGAACTGAATGCTTTAAATGCTTGATCATTTTCGGCTGTGGAGCAAGAGTTAGTACTGCTGATGTAATTTGTTCCAGAGTTCAGCCTGAAAGAAATGCTTTCAGTAGAAGTAGAAACATGGGGACTACGCAGCAAGACACAAGGAAAAAAAATGCTTAGTCTGAGGTTTACTAATTTTTGAAGTGCAAAATTAAGCATTTTTTTTGTTTACTTCATTTGATAAAAGGAGAAAATGTAGAAATTGCAGTTATTTGTGTTACCTGTGATGGATATTTCATGAGCTGTCTGCTTTACAGAATGCCTGTGGTCAAATCTAGAAACATCCTTTCTCAAGAAGCTGGTCATTCTATACCAGAGGGTTTCCCAGAAAAACTTGTCTCAATTTGTCATGGAAGTCAGAAGTGGGCAAAGAAGCTCTGTCAACCTGCACCCACATGAAACAGTGACTCTGGAAATACTGCAGATTCTTTACCAGGTAAGAAAGTGTTTGGATCCTGATTAGATGGGATGTATCAGTATGAGTTAAGAGTATTTTAATCCTTTTTACTTGTTGAATTCTCTGGGTTTCCTTCTTACGAGGGAACATGGGGCCTTCTCATGTGTCATTGCTTCAGGAATCTCTTTGGCTCTATACCAGCATAGCTTTGAAGGAATCGTACTCTTGGGTTGTGCCTGGCTGACACTCTATAGAAAGGAAGAGCTGAAGCACGTTATAGCCCCTGGCAGGGGGAGGGATGCTTTCAGTGGTGTGAGGAGTGCATGCATTTATGCTTACAGAGCTATGGATGTGGTGTTACGTAGCATGCCCATTCCCCTTTCTGCTGGTGAGATCCCTCACCCCAGTCACTGCTCACAGCATTTAAAAGACAACCCACCTGCTTGACACATCGTGGTTGCCACAGTAATACTGCCTGATGCTTTAAGAGCCTGTTACCTGAGAAATTTTCTGGGACAATAGAATTAGAGCATCTTTAGCTGCATATGAACAAGGGGAAGAAAGGTGGCAATAACCGTATTATTCTTGACAACCATCCTTTCTCCTGCTGAGATGTTCAAAGTTTAGGAAAGTCAAGAGCTCAAGCATGCACTTAGGATGAATCAGAGAGACTTGTTAAATTTTGTTCAAAATTGAATATCCTTTTGGCTGAGAATGCAGATCTGGGCCTTGAAGTTTAGGTTCTTGAATCTGTATTTATCCATATAAATAAACTCAAAAGTGCAGCAGGCCTGCTCCTCTGTAGTTACATCATTTGGAGCTTTACATGTTCACTGTCCCTCCACAAATCATATCTTTGCCAGGCAACAAGTATGAATGTGAATATGGAACTTCAGATTGTCCTGCAACATGAAAGACACTCAAAGAGAAACGTATCTTTCCTGATGGAATCCTGTTGAGGGATCTTTATTGTAATGAAAATTTCTTTGCTGTTAGTTTATACATGGCTTTCTGAGACTTCTCACTCTTGAGTGCTGTGCTACTCATTACATTTCTATCCTTCCATTTCAGCACAGAGCTCTTTCTGAGAGAGCTCAGTTACTCCTTAGTCCCGTCCTGCCACACAGGTGCATAGCTCGCTAGATCTGCTGACACTCCTTTTCATATTGCATGTGTCAATGCAGGTGAACTCCAGAACTGGTTTCAGAGTACAAGAAAGCAACTTCTATATGTCTGAACTGAAAGTGATCACAAAATTGTGTCCGTTTTCTGATGCAGAAGAAGTAAGTATAAAATCTTACTGGCAATGTAAACCAGGGTTTTTTTCCTGTTTTATTTAAATTAATCGATATATATGAAAGTCAACTCTAGACTCTAGCCCAGTACGTCTCAAAGACAATGCATTTTCCCTAGTCCTTTGGCTTTTCTAAATTATGCAAGCCATTTACCATCCCAGTATTTTAGCAGCTCCAATAGTGCCTTTCCTGAGATGACCCCTGGCTCTGAGAGTTGGAGCTGTCCTCCAGCATCTTAAGTAGCTCTATTGAACTGGTGATCAGTGTGAAATAGCACCATGAGGAATGGTTGCTATACTCCTTGTTAGTCTAGATTTTATTATGTTTAATTAACAGGAAATATTGTGAGGTCTCTTTAAACTTTTCTGTAGAAACCCTATTTAGCATTTCAATTTAGTTACATCTAAAACCAAAGTCGTGGTAATAGAAAAGAATCTGTAAAATGGTTAGTTTCTTGATGATGTGAAGGAGTGAAGATTAGCTACCAGATGCAATCAGTGTCACAGGAAGCAGCATGAAATGGAAATGTGGATAGTAGGGCCTTCCTTATGCAAAAAATGCAGTTTTCTGGCAACTTGGCTGGAATTCGCAGAGCAACTGCCTAATTCTTTCATAAACTTTCATTTGCTAATGTACCAACTGCAGTGTTCTTTGGGTTTCAACATAACCAAAGTGTTGGTAGAAGGGTTTCAGTATTCACTGAGCACACAATATACACTGAGCATACCAATTAACCAGAGTGAAGGATGAGGTTTGAGAAACAGTATAGAATCAAAAGCCAAATAGGACATTACCTGAAGTTGCTGCCTTACCACACTGGAGGTGTAACACATTGACTTAGATTATTTTGTGTACCAATATCTACTTCTGGTATTACAGATAATAAACCCATCAGTTTTTAACAACAACAATGTACCATAACCTGTGTATGCAGGACATTTTTACTATGTGTTTTTGTTTCGCTGAGTTATAGAAGATGCTATTAAAATCATTCTCTTTCTGTTTTATCCTTGGGGCACTGCAGCGCAAGTGTCTGCCTGGACAGAGAGTTCAGATGTCTCTCTGTCAGGGTTTCCCACTCACAGAAGTGTTTAGAAGCTGCTCTTAGAAAGTGTGCCTCTGTTGGTGTAGTGTTCATGTATACAACAAGGGTGTGTTTCAGAGATATACGAGTTTGCCAGGGACAGACTGGAAGTTCAGTCTGCACATGTACCCTCAAATTCTCATTTTGCAAGAGAAAATCAACACATCTTTGTCTTTCTTCCTTGTCATTTCAGATGCCCATATGGAAGCTGAGCAAATATCCATGCATCTTTGACATGCACTGCAAGATCGTCATTCTTCGTATGGAATACTACATTCTGGCCAGCCCTTTTACTGACGTAAGTGTGGCCATTTTTTTTTACAATTTGGAAGAGATAAACACACTGCTAACACTCTGTTGCATCAATCTTCAGCTAGTTTTAATGGCGCTGTGGCAAGAATGCTGGGAATTTCCAGTCAGAAGACAGTACCTTCTGCAAGACATATGGACCCATCTAAATGATGCACCAACCCAGCAATTCAGGAAGTCCTTAGTGGTAAGATAACAAATTGTATTATTTGTTAGCTCTGAATATATTGCTGCAGTGTTCTTTGGGTTTCAACATAACCGAAGTGTTGGTAGAAGGGTTTCAGTATTCACTGAGCATACAACAAAACAACTGCTCATCAAATTATTGTAAAACATGTTCCACAGGGGATGTAGAGTACATCTGGAGGGCAGTATCTTACATTCTTATTCCAGATAGCCATCAGCTTTGTTGGCATAAGTTAAATGCGAGTGGCAGTGCTATTTACTGTGAAGTTGCTTTGGGGTAATATAATAGGATTGCTTAGGAAACTGGTAATTGGCAAAGTCCATTACTATTACTGCTAGACTGAATTTAAGGACTCTAGGCTAGTTTGCTGTACGTGGTTGCTGGGGAGCCAGCCTTAGAGGCCAGCAAGCAACATAGCCACAAAAGCCATTTCTGTCATGGAGATGCTGCCTGAAGGGAAAGGAAGGATATTGCCAGCAAGAGAGGTGAAAAGCTGATTATAACGCTGCTGTCTCCGTGTGGCTTTAGCCTGTGGTTTCCACACGAACCCAAAGGTTCTGGCAGCTGTTATTTTCTTCGAGTATCGCAATGCTAGCCCTGCCCTGCAAAAGCCATTAGACGGCTGACGTGGGAACAAGGCACCTGCCCAGAGTGGAGCTCAGCTCAGGGACCATGTGCTGTTATCAGTCACTAACACAAGGGCCGTCAGAGTCTGGCACACGCCTGTGCAGCAGGAACTACCAACCTCAGTGCCCTGTTACCCAGTTCTGGTTCTTTCCAAGGGAGCTGCCTTGCCAGCCAGAGCTGTCACAGTTTTTCCTTCCTGTACACTTAGGAGAAGATTCACAACGGCTCCTAGAGCTACCCTTCCTTCCCTGTTCCTCACTACATCAGCTGAGGGAGACATTTCTTTGCAGAGGCGATACGGTTTGTGCTCTGTCCTGTCCTCTAGATCTAGAGTCTCTCTCCACTGATTGTACAAGGAGCCCCGACAAACAGCTGCACTTGGCTAGTCAGCCTTCGAATCCACCTCTTGCAGGGGCTGCCTTTCATACTGTGCACAGTATTATTTGCCCAGCAGCAGCCTGATCAATTTGACTGCATCATTAGTATTCCACCAAGAGACACCAAGGTTTGCAGTATTTACTACTTGGTGCTGCATTTCTGCATTTTTCAGCAGGTAAAGGACATTCATGTGTTTGTGTTGCAGATATAAACCACCCAGTAGCAAAACATAAAAGCCTTGTAATAGATTATTGTACCATTAATCTGTCCCCTTCACAGCTCTGTCCTGTTAAGACATTTTGTCAGACAGCACTGAGAACTTTGCAGGTGACACCTTCAGAGTGGTTTGTCACTCCATTCTCTAGTGTTGCTGTAAATGAAAACAGGGAAGGTTGAAGTATTTAGCAGAAGTATCTTCTGTTCCCTCTCCGCTGAGCAGGAGATAGTGCTAAGGGGAAAGATACTCTACGTAAACAGCATTTGTAGCTGATGACTTGGCTACCAAGTCCTTGGGTCAGTTGGAATTATTTTCCCTTTAACCTGTCAGGAGATGCCTCTTGAACGAAGATGACCCAGGCTGGCTATGAAACTTGGGCACTCAGACACATTTAACAAACAGTACAGGGACATCTCCTAAGCAGACACTGGAGTATGTTGGAGGCCTCTCTAACAAAAAACGCCATGTGCCCAAATACATCTTTTCTGTAGCAGTCATTTCCCCATCTTTTTCCTTAAAAAAACCAACAAACCAACAAGCACCTACCCACTGGACATACAGACACAGGTGTCATCCAAGTAAATTTCTTCATTTAACTCAAGTTTTGTTATTAAACATCAGCCTCATTTATTTTATATTCTTCTGATAGTAAGACAAATACATTTCAATACACACCAGTTCAAATCAAAACCAAAGCTCGTAATTCAGAGATTCACATTGCTGCACGTTGTCATTGCTTATTATTTAAGATCAGTTGTTTCAGTCAGGGTACAGTTCTTCCTTGTAAAAACGATCACCATCTAGAAGATTTTCATTAGTGCTACTACAAACACACAACACTCTTGATGGGATACACTAGAAGGAATTAGTCCTTCTTATTCCTCCTCTTTATCTGCCTTAGCAGTAATTAAGTAATAGGCTGCTGCAGAGAACTTTATACAGTTCCAGATACTACTAGGAAAATGGTGACAGTCACTGGTGCCAGAAGGGAACTCTCTCAAGTAACCTGATGAGATTAAATAAACTCGTGTTGCTTTAGAGAAGCCCAGGGGTTAGCAAATGCATCGCGCTAGTTGTGTCTGAAAAGCTTAATCCCCATCCAGGTCCATAGGTGGAAGAATACATAAACCGGTATTGTCACAGGAAGGAGGAGGCTGTAGAAACATAAGCTGTTTGCGCTGGTGCAGCCCTGTGGGAAGGTTTTATCTACGGTGGCTGAGTAAAACAAGCCTGCTAGGGACAGGAGGGGAACCAGTACGGTCAGCGTGGGCAAGGAGGGCAGCACGCCGCCTCCGGCCATCAGTTCACTGCTGCGGCTGGTGGGGGCTCAGGGCTGCTTCGGGTCCTCAGCGGGGGGCTTCTTCCCAGTCGTCCTGGCAGCCTCTGGGACCATGTTCGGGATGCCGTCGATGACGGGGTATGCAATGCCCAGCTCCTCGTTAATGAGCTCGTTGGTAGCTTCTTCGTACCTGGCCAGGCGCGTCAGGGGGAAAAAAACCCAAAAACACACACACAAAAAAAAC